CCCCACCCTGAATGCAAGAGAACGCATCAACTGTCCACGCGTGCGATTGTTCACATTGCACCCTAGTTCGGGAATAGAAGTTTCTGAGCATGAGGAACAGTAGTTTCTGAATACGACGAAAATAGTTTCTGAATACGACGAAAATAGTTTCTGAATACGACGAAAATAGTTTCTGAATACGACGAAATAGTTTCTGAATACGATGAAATAGTTTCTGAATACGACGAAATAGTTTCTGAATACGACGAAAAGAGTTTCTGAATACGACGAAATAGTTTCTGAATACAAGAGTTTCTGAATACAACGAAATAGTTTCCGAATACAACGAACTAGTTTCTGAAGACTAGTTTCTGAATACAGTGCAGTTTCTGAATCCGACTTTGTTCGTGACTAAGCTGTCAGTGCAGGAAGATCACAAACAAGGTTCTCTGGCCCTGAGGGGCCCAGGGGCGGGGGCCCTCCAAAGGCCTGAGGGGGTTGCAGCATCCACGGCAACAAACTCTTGGCTGTCAGCTAAGGGGGGGCGTGTGGCGTGGATGCTTCGATCGGTGAACATCGCGAAAGCACGGTCCGGTCGGTTTGTGAGTGGGTTGCTGTTTTTCAGTCCAGGAATCGGTTCCGGAATCAGTTCGAAGGACGATACAACCTCAGTTTTGCTTCTGACACTCCGGCAAGACGGCAAAGTCCACACGACCGGCAAGTCCATCATAGTTCGACACTCCGTCAGACGTAGACCGTTGCAACGGCAAGTCCGTCGCAATGTTAGACACCACAATCCCATGCGATATACGCCTTGCTGTGACTCATCTCCTGCACGACCACCGCCAAAGGATCCAGCTGGAAGAAACTGTGCCGCTGCGACGCCAAAGGATCCGGGAACCCCGGCGATGGATCGTTTCGCGCGCCCTTTTCGTCCAGCAAACGAGAGGTTCCAAACAGATGGGATGCAGCGAACGGGTGACCTTCATGACTTTCATCCTTGCTTTGGGTCGTGGGTTGCGCGTCTTGATCCACCCTTTTGCCCTCACCTTCCAAACTGGGATGTCAATGTTGATGCCTCAGAAGAAATATAAAGGTCCTGGTCATCCAAAATTCACTGACCTGACTGACTGACCTTATGTCATCTATAAAAAGATCATCTTTATACTAAACTCTTGCTTAGCTTTCGTGCAAAATATAAATTAATATAAATTCTTGAGCAAAACCACAAGATATTCTGCTCTCTAAAGCATGCATATGAATTCACAAGTTGTATGACATTCCATCTGTTTGAAGAAAACATCGGACACTTTCACTGAATTGGTGAACATTGGACACATGTACTTATATGTCATTAGTGGAAAAGCCACATGTTTTGTTGACATAAAGTCGGGCGTTTCTGTGGGAAGAAGTAACTTTGCGATCAGTGTCACAGTGGCTTGGAGGAAAAATATTAACGTGCACCGTTCAAACCACATACTTCGCTGGGACAACAGTCAAGACTTAGACTGGAAAGCAGAATCACGCTCCCCTCTCCCTGAGGCATATTCAGCGCCTCCCAAGAGATTTCCCGATTGCAGCTGGTAGCAAGGCTGGCAAGAGGCTGGCAGGGTCGGCGCCTCCAGCGAGCTTGCCGCTCGGCGTGCGAGGCGGTGAGGCAGTGACTGGGTGGTGAGATTATACACTGCGTTCCATTCTGATTTGCATAAGCTTTTGAGTGTTGTATGGCGTTGCGCGTCTGTGTCCAAGCAGCGTAACAAAACGTTTCCTTCATCAAACAGGTGCTGCATATCGTAGCGGCTCTCTGCCTGCTGAACACGACAACATCTATTGGATGATCCAGACCATCGCTGAGGCTTGGACTTTCCACTGCTCTGAAGGAGATCCAAACCTGAGGCGGTGTGTTACATTCTGAAGAAATGAAGGATATCTGATATCTGCCCCGCATATGAGTGGAACAAAAACATGAGTTCTCAAGGTATTAGCTTATATGTACAGGATCTAAACAAACCACAGGTTTTACCTGTCTGTCTGGTTTGCTGATTGCTACCATGCAACAACATTGCTTTTGTGTGTGTGTGTGTGCGCAAAGCCACATGATCTGAATCATTCTAAATCACTTTGAAATTAAGGCTCTATTTGAAGATCAATCTTCTGCTTCTGTGCTTCCTTCTTGGGAAGCTTATGATCCGCTTACTGTCGAGTATGAAGTCACTGAAGTCACTAGCAAAGCCGCTCCTGGTGACTAACTTCCAGTGTTATTATGATCAGCAAATAGCCACCTTCTTCTGGGGTACACAACAATTATTTGTGTGTGTGTATATAGCTTCTTCAGATATGTTGTGTTTTGCCAAAGCTGTAACACTGACTCTTCAGCGGCATTCACAGCTAGGCTGCTCTCTTCCAGCACATTCAGAAGTAGGTTCATTGACTAATACATTGGAAGCTCACTTGCACCATCAACACAGTGGTTTCCAAGAGAGCAAATACTTTTTTGAACTGGCAAAAAGCAGGCCATACCATAGGTTCTACGCAGCGACAGAAGAGCCACTGCACCACGGTGAAACTCTTTGAATCTTGCAAGGTGCAAGACTGATGCGAAACTGTGAGCGCCAACAAGTGGAGAAACTCCCCAATCTCTTTGCTTTGACTGTTGGGAGAAAGACAAACATCTTGATTCAGGTGGTGGGGATGCAGGTGTTTTTCTTTCAGGGCTAACTGTGAGCATCTCCACTCTCAGGGTAGGGCTACGAAGCCAAGAAGCAACTCATTATCAGTGCATCCGAGTTCATCAGTTCATCCCATTGATTTAAGTCCCACACCACGTTTCCGGACCATGTGAAGACAAAGGATGAGGCCCAACACTCCCGACCTTCGGTTTCTCAGAACAATGCTGGCTCGTTCACTCATTGCTGATACTTGTTGGGTCCCAAATCCATTGCCTTAAAGCCCCCGTTGCTGAGGAAAGATTCGTCTCATGGCCAGCTTCGGCTCAAGGTTCCAACACAAACGACAGGTTGCACCCAAAGAGCCCGCTGACCCATGCGCCCCATTTTGTGCCCAGAAGCCTCTACCTCATGCTGTCTGCAAGGTCATTCTGTAAAATGAACTTTTTGCAAGGTAATGTTCTGCAAGGTCATTCAGTTTCTAAGTTCATTCTGTTGGCTTCCAAAAATGAACTTAGAAATTTCTTGATTCATTCTGAGCCACAGGAATTGGACATCAGGGATGGCTGAGAATTCTCAGCCAAGCTTCATCCAGAACGCGGTCCGTCCAAATACAGCTTGGGGGACAAACGTAAGGAATAAATACAACTTGAAGGTTTGGAACTCTTCATGATGGACAACTCCTGCGTGAACAAAGACCTATGCGGAACCCCCTTGTTCTAACTGTAATGTTAACCTGCGGATGAAGGGGCACGCCTCTGGGAAGGTTTGAGATACCGAACCAATTGGTCCATCCCAATGCCCAAATCCTTTGTTCAACTTGTTTTTGTCCCAAATTATCTTGACTTGAATTAGATAGCTCCACAAGCCAACTAAGCTGCCCCATCCTGCATTGCGGCTTCTCACGAATTCCTAGAGCTACGCGAATGCAACTACGGCAAGGGGAGCTCCAACAACGGCATGCCTGACGCGCACGGGAGTCTTTCTCCGTGGTGTTGAAATGAGATCCAGAAACTGGCCAGATCAAGAAACAATATTGAATATAAATATATTAATATACCGGCACCTATTGGGTGGCTTGTAAACACCAATGTGACTACCCAATAAAACTATCCTTTTTGGGTGGTGCTGCAGTTGGCTAGCGCGAGCCCGCCCTGTGAGTGTCGAGACCGCCGGGGCGGGGAGCGGTCTCAACCTGCGCTCCGACCGGCAGGCGACGGACGGACGGACGGACGTGTCCGCCTCTCCTTTTCGACCGTCTCTTTGGTCCAGTCAACCTCGTTGAAAACGATCCTTGGGCGAAGAACCCGGTGAAGAGGAGATGCGTGGAACCACGGAGATGCGGAGAACCCTGGCGGCGTGCCATGAGACATAGAGTTGGACAGTTGGACACTTGGACATTATCCCTAGGGCTCCAAGTACCTTCTGAGAAGGTGTTTAGGGAGGTACTTGGAGCTCTAGGGATAAGACACATATCAGAAACACAACTCCGATGTAATCGATCCAGAAGAAATTGCCCGCTCGTCCAGGTCCCTTCGTCCGCCAAGCGACTGCATCTCCTTTGGTCCAGGTTTCCCGGTACCTAGGTCGTTGGCACGAGCGCCGGCACAAGCAACCGTTGGCCCCCAGCCGGGATGGTTGACTTGAGCATGCATACCATCCCAGCCGGGAGAGAAGCAAGGCATCGACGGACATGCATACCAAAAAGACCCGAAAAGACTTTGTTTGGCGTTTTTTGGGGTGCCAAGGTTTGGACCCTCTTGGTGAAACAGTTCCAAAACGAAGAAACTGCCAGGACTTTTGTGGCGACTTCCTCTGTGAGGTTGATTGCTGCAGCTTCTTTGCAGCTCCCTCTTCTGCCCAGCTGCTTCTCAAGCTGCTCCACTGTCATCGGCAATTTCAGCTCACTTGAGTCAACCATGAGGCCCGGATGCCTCAGTCGAGGCATGTGCAGCATGTCTAAGTGTGTTTGGGGTAGAACCTCCAACGTTAACACACACACACTCTCTCCCTCTCTCTCTCTCTCTCTCTGTGTCAGTACACGATCCCAACAGTACAATGCCAACGAAAGGTTCACGCCTATATAAATTGTTTTGTCTCAACAATGGTCCGAAAATCATGTGGTCACAATGGCCCGAGCAAGTCCTCAGCTTCCAACTGGAAGGACTTCACATGAGTCGAAGCGTACCTGGATGGGAGCACATCGCGGGGGCTCAAGGCCGGGGCGCGCGCTTGCGCGGGGGACGGACTCAAATTGGATCTTCAACATACCAACGATGGAAACCTTCTTTTGAGATTGACCAACAAGTTCTTGACAAATTTTGGACGGAACACGCCCTAATCGTCCGGCAGGGATAGTTTGCAATGGCAATCAGGCTTGTTGGCTCAAACTCTAACGTACCGCACGTGACATGACCACAGCGGATGGAAGGAAGCTAGTAGCTTCTTGTTACTAGTAGCAATGGCCTCCAACCTACTAGCGATGTCCTCCAACCTACTAGCTTCTTGCTGCTAGTAACTTAGTACATCCTTAAACTGGTTGAAATCTGGTTCACACTAGCCTCCCACGATTGGTGAAGTAGCTCTTTAGCCTAAAACAGGTATAACGTGCTTGTATTGGCCCAACAAAGGTGTCCACCAACAGGTATAACTAGCTTCCTCAGTGGATCTTGGATTCTGAACTCGTCAACATCCTGTCCGTTCCTTTCTATTTAGCATCAAAAGAGAGTTTCGAACATAGTCACATAGTCATAGAGCTCTGATGAGCTATGTGTATATGTGTGTTCCTTCTAATTGAACCATACCGATCAAAAAACAATATGTCTGCACAGACTCCATGCTTTGTCCGTTTCGGTCACATGTCTGCCGCGTCAGTCTTCATGTAGCTAAGCCAGCTTGCCTCGGTTTGTCCGAAGTCAGATGCCGAAGTCCCCTGTGCGGGTTGTGCATCAACCTGCCCACCTACTTAAGAATGCATGACCAAACAAATTAGAGAACCTACTACTAAATTTGGTCTTGGAGCGGTGAAAGAAAGTCTCTTGGTGTAAGTAAGAAAATGGTGCTGCAAAGTAAGCCTGCAAACCCTTCTATCCCTTAGGATTCGACACGATAACAAAGAATATCCAGACAACACAAAAGGAACGAACCGCCAGTTTCATCTCAGACTTTCACCAACCGAAGGCTCACCCGTTAAACCCCACGTGAGCCTCCAATACGTAATCAGGCTCCCTGATTGTGGGGAACTTTCGCGTTCATCTATGCCTTACAGTCCTCACTCTCACAAATAGTAGAACAATTTAAGAATCGTCATTCCATTTGCTTTCATTCGATGTTGTGTAAAAACCCCTCTACCTTTCCCTATGGCATGAATACTCATGCGAATACTAATTTCTTACATGTGTTGTGTTTGTTTTTAAATACTCCGTCATTTGGTCCTTTCATAACGTCCGGATCAACTTGGTCCCCCAAGGTTGAGGGAGTTTGGTCCGTCGACGTTTGAGGTTCGGGCGGATTCCAAGGCGGGGCCCTTCTTGTCCATGACCTCCTGCGACGGTCGACTCGCCAATCCAAGGTGCAAGCCCTGACAAACATGTTCACATGGGGGAGGGACATGTGACATGTGAAGAACCATGTCAAAATTCCACGAGAAGTCTCTGCGGTTTCGAGACGTTCCAACGACATGTTCGGAATTCCTTGGATATTCTGCGGCTTCGAGCCTGTCGAAACCTGACACATCCATGGTCCAGTCCATGTCCAGTCCCTCTGTCACACAGGCAGTTGACGACCTGAGGCAGTTAGCTGGTCGCACCGAACCGTTTGGAAAGCTCGTGAGTGTCGCTGAAGCATGCCCACCTTGAACTGCTCGCCGTAAGACTCTGAGGTCTTTGTCCAGGTCTTTGCTGAAGCAGCAGGAAGTTGATGAAGTTTCTCAAGAGCTGCCTGGAAAAAAAAAACACTGGAATTCATTTGAGTTACTCATATATGGTCACATGGTCAAAGAGAACCCGCCCTACTATTGAAACATCTTTTGCCAGCAAAATATGGCCAACAAGTCCTAACCAATGCAAAACAATTTGATGTTGAACCTGGGATGGTGGAGCCATCACTTGCAAGGTGTGCAAGGTGAAAGAGGAAACAAAAGCACCCAAGTGTGGATGGCAGAACAATTTAAAACACAAACAAATACTATATAAACCTAAACAACGCGTTCCTCCAGAATGCACAGATTATAACTCATAACAATTCTAGCCACCCAAGACTTCCCTTCATGTCACACTTGGTGTCTCAGCCGTGTGCGTCTGAAACAAACCCGCCACCTGATGCTTCACAGGCTCCAAGCGCTCCTCGAACCAGTTGCTCCTGGGCAGGGTGCGATGAAATCCTTGGACCAACTAAAGCAAGACCTGAACCCAGCTCCCAGTTTCCACTCGTCAACGGGTGTTTTGATGTTTGTCAACTGCAACTCCTACTTTCGACGGAAACTCCGCCGTCCCACGTCCCAGACGTTCGGAGCGGGTCACATGGAGTACGTCGGTTCCGGGGGTTTTCTTCCTGCTTCACGTGTCTCCTCAAAAGACGGAAATGGGAGAAATCCCGGGGAAAAGCCGTTCCGATTGAAGCAGTCAGATCAGCGGTCAGGGGTCAAACTTGTCAAACCACCACATGAGTGTGTCTTGGAAGGGTAACCTCCCAGAGGCATCCTGGAAGAGGACACATAGACCGACCACATAGACTCAAGCCAATTGGGGGTCACTCAAACACAAACTCACATGGAATCCGTGAATTGTTACACATCTCTTGCTGTTGAAACCAACATGGATCCATGAGTTAGGTAGCTACAGCTATTTGTCCAGGCCAAGAGGTTGCGGGCTAATTCTCCGCGTAAAGGAGTTTGTCGCCTTCCAGTAGTAGGGGACTCCAAGCTGAATGTGTTTGTTCATTTCCATCACCAAAACATTCCAGCTTTGCTTTTACTGTCTTCATGCCAAACATATCAACAACAAAGCAGCTTGTTACATTTGGGAGGTTGTTCTCTGAATGAAGACCTCTCTGCAATAAATTAGGCATCCAAACATCATCATGCATCATCTTTTAAGAAGACTGTGATCACCCTAGCCTTAAGGGTTGACACTGATGTGTTTGTCCGTATCAACGCTTGGTGCCTGCTCGTTGTCAACATGGGAACGCACACACACAGAGCTATTCCTAAAGGCAACATGTGAGTGAGTCCATTTCGGACACCACAAGGGTTTTACGGTTTACCATTGACTTGCAAATGCCGAACAAACATTGAGGATATTTCAGGTCCTGCAGAGATCCTGTCTTGCAAACGAACCATGCAAACCAAACAAAATCCAAACTGTATTCTCATTGTATTCTCTACTCCCCATGACTCTGAGACTTCGCTGGGTCCTTTACTCTCTAGTCCTGCACTCGCTTTGCTCAAGCACTCTGTCCAAGTGACTGCAAGCAATGAGGTCCATAGACATTCTTACCGCCCCGAAGGGAATTCGCTGCCATGGACCTGCGCCGAAGCCGCCGACCCCCGGGCCAGGAACGATCAGATGATCAGTCTTCTCCTTCAGACGGGATCATCAATCAAAGGCAAGTAAGGTTTTAGAGTGGTTCCCAAAATAGATATTGACACGGTGTCCAATACATGTTGAAAGGGATGTTACATTTCTCATCCTTTCTCTCTATTTGGGGGTCTAATTATTCACACCAATGCCATTCCCTGAAAAAGAACTCGCTTTGACCCTGGACGACACGTTTATGCCGGGACGACCACCCGTCTATGCCGGGTGTACTAAGACCGGCTGAAGAAGCGCAAATCCGGTGTTTCTCTGCAAACCCATGCGCTCTCCGAGTGTATCATGGATTTTTGTGTTGCCCTTTTTCGGTGACTTCGTCTAAGTCTGGATGATTGTAGCAGCAACTTCCATTTCTATAGAAAACAATTTGACTGATTCAGCTGGCTCGAAAGCAATACCCATTGGGAAATGAGGAATCGTGTCATCATCGAACTTGGTTGTCAGGGCAAATCATTTACCGATGCATCCAAAACCAACCACTCGCTCCCATAATGGTCTCCTTTGTGTGCAGCGACAAAAAATCAAAAAGAAGGAGCACAGCCAAAACAATTGCATTTGGCCATGCTCTTCAACTCCTTTTCTCATTCGACACTCGAAAGATCCAGCAACCTCCCCTGACCGCACCGCGAAGGGCTGCGCAGCGGTGCTGCGGCTCGCGCTCGGGAGGGCGATCGAGCGGCTGAAGCTGCGGGAAGGAAGCGGCTGTGGCAGTGCGGCCTATATTGCTTCATGAGTCAAACAAAATGAACTCCAAAATGCTATTATTCCCGCAACAATCAAATCGAATTAGGGTCCCAAAAGCACATCTGGGGTGGTCCTTGAATTGGAATGCTGTATACACTCAAAAGAAAACATGGAAATGGTTGGCATCTTCTACACTCTACCTTGGCTATCCCTGGCCATGTTGGACCTTCACCGGAACGTCAGCCATACACCGGCCGACAGGCTGTGCAGGCGGCCACAAAACGCGCTAAACAAATGCCTCCAACCAACGAGCAGTTGACAAAACCAACAAAACCCTTGATCAAAAAAAGTAAGTTGATCAATCCATGCCGACACACTCTCAGTTTGGGCTGGTGCATCACATCTGACAAACCCAGTTCTGAGTTTGCTAGGGCAAACCCACTGAACTCTCTTTCGGCCCCTGCAGCCAGGCGCTCCGGACGGTGAAGGTGTAGGGCAGTGCAGGGGCCGCCAAGAAATCCTCTAAGGTTGGTGGCGCAGTGGTAACCAAGTCCTGCATCAATCGATTCGGACGTTCGGAAGCTGAAGAATTTGGGAACCATCTGGACCCCCCACCCCCTACCTGGTACCCTTATAGATATCGCCTTTTCCATCCTTTTCCTCTCAAAGCCAGGTGTCACCGACCAGGTGCGTTGGGCCCAATCGACCGATGGGCCGCCCGAGTGATAGGAGGAGGTGGCTTGATGTCCAACAAGATCACACCATTGTACGCTTTCTATGGAGTCACTCAGATCCGGACGAGGTGGGGCATGATCTGTATAATCTCTATGTATCAAATCTTCCCTAGGTCGGAACATAGGATGGCGAGAGCAATGATATAGGTTTGGGCCCTGCGTAATTTGTCCCTATGCTCATCCCCAATTGCACTTAAAGAGAATAGAATGTTTGTTGTTCTTCAAAACTCGCTCGAAGGTGGAAAGGCTTCCCACCTATAATGTCCTGACGAACACATCACATGGAACTTGGAAGGCTGTTTTCCTTACAAACAAGGGTTCCACTCCCATGCTGACGAATTGGATTTGATATTCAAATTGAACAGTGAAATTGTTGCGTGCATTGGCCTTCTCATCGTAGACGCCGCTATGCACAATAGGCTTTCCAGCCCGAACAATACGGTATTTCCGACTGGAAAGCACATATGTCATACACATATCACAAATATATGCATACACTATATATAGAATTCACCGAATACATATTCACCATTATTCACCTTGACTTGCACCCCTGCCTTCGGAAGATGTGGACAAAGATGATAGTCCTGCCACAGGACGCCCGACACTGTAGGCAATTTTGCATCGGGTGGACCACGAGAGTTGGGTCTTCTTCGCAGAGCGAAGTCCCTGCGTCAAGCCGCAGAGACTTGGTGAAGCTTTGCTTCACCAAGAAACGACATCTGAACGTCAAAGGACTGATCAAATCGTGGTCCGATGGCCGGCCAGTGCGTCCGCTTGAGGCGCCAAACAACGTGGTGCAGCGATAAAACTCCCTTCTCGTCTTTCCATGGAGTAACTCCTTCGCCTTCAAGAAATCGGGCTGTTCCCACAGCTCGAAACCCAAACCGACCGAAAAAAGCGAAACGAACGGCCTGCGGTGCTGGTCGATTTGGCGTCTCCACGCAAGTGGCTAAGAGGGGCTCCGCCGCGCAAAGCTCGGAGCAATGCACCTGGGGAGTGATTGGATGGGTATCGGACGGGGGGTGAAGAACTGCAGCGATGAACTGAAGCGATGGCTGAGCAACCACAATGCAGTACATGTTGTTTAGTGCAACGTGGTTGTTTTTGCAAGACAAACAACATCGTGTATCATAGTACTGTTTTTGCGGTTCCTCAGGCGAGGACGGCGGTGAAACCATCATTGCAGGCTGGGTTGTAATAGCACCTCAGAGTCAGGAGCTGGGTTCCTATCCGCGAAGTGGCGTTTCCGTGAGCTGAGAGAAAGTAAGTGTAAACCGAGGCACGACAAACGTAGAAATGATCTGGTTCAAAGAAACCCTATGTTTGCTAGAAACCCTATGAAAGTATAGAAACCTCTGGCCCATTTGCTAGAAGACAATTCTATGTTTGACCCTATGTTTACTAGACATCGGGTAACAAATAGATATTGTGCTGCCCACGTCCCGTGTCCCGTGGGACCTGGGACTTGAAGAATGGAACAACTGCTTTCTAAACCTATAAACCCTTGAAACACAAGGGTTCTGCTGCCCGGAAGCAACCATATATTCTGATGGACTGTAAGTCCATGCTCTTCATGATTCTCTGAGGGAAGTCACACATGATCTCTACTCACGGAACAATTGAGCTATTGTTAAGAATCATCTCTCTTACCAAGAATACCGTGCGCCCTCTTTACCGCTTCGGACCACCTGTGGTAAGGGTGTCCAAGGCCACCGCCCCTCTTGTAGCATGCAGGTGTAGAAGACCCGTCGATATTCGCACCTCAGATCCGGCTGTCGCCCATGTGCGGCACAGCAGGACCTCACGAAAAAAGGGCACGGTGCCTGGGCGACTAAGCAGATCATGATGATGTTCACATCCCATTCGGTTGGGAATACTCAATCTGGTGAGCTTTGTTCCACTCTATGTGTTTTGTGGATGATGTTCATGGGTGCGGGTAAACATCTTGGGCTTCAATTGTCCTTGGTAAAGCTGACGATCTTCACCGAAAACTGACGGTCTGAAGCGATCTTCTCTTGAGCATTCCAGGAGCTACTAGCAGCGTCCTTGCTCCTAGTATAGAAATGCCCTTGTTACTAGTAGCTTCTTGTGCCTAGTAGTAATGCCAGGAGCTACTAGTAGCATCATTGCTAATAGTAGTAAGGACCCTTGTTACTAGTAGCGTCCTTGCTACTTCCTGATAAACTTGTGATAGATTCCACTCGGAAGCAAGGGTTCGAAAGTCTCAATGCAGTCAGATGGCCAAGTCAAACACCTGGTCGAAACACATGTTAAACCATCACCATGCACCCGGTCATAACCTTTCACCTGGTTCAAATTTGTAAATGGCTGTTTAGTTTATTGAGTGAAGTCCGTTCCTGTCATACCGAACAAAGCCTTCCTCCTATCAAAACAATGGTGAAGCCACAAGGACTTTGTGAAAGATTCGAATCACCAAAAAGCCTTTTCCTCTCACTGAAGTGAATCTTGCAACTTAGGGGCTTCACATGGCTTCACCTATAGGACCCTCTCTGAAACGCTCCTGCGCATCGCGAAACACAACATCATCTGAGGTCGGAGGCTCTGCAGCGCCACTGGCAATGGAGATCTTCTCCACCTGCTGTCAAGGTGAGGGTCTTCTGCAAGTGTGCAGTCCTTTCATTATGCTACTCCTCTTGCTAGCAGAAGATTCATGTTTGGGTAGTAGGTCAGCCCATGTCAACACCCCAGCCCGCAATCCTTCAACAAACTTAGTGAAAAGAAGAACACATGTCTATATCGGTCCAATATCCTTCACAGGTTGAGTTCCATTGGCTCTCGCAGTTCCAACGGCCGTGTCACCGGGTCCGGAAACCACTCGTTGCCGGATCACTCGATTCTCCATGATCCCCTCGCACTGGGATTCTTCGCTCAACGAAACGGAAGGAATCCAGTTCCTGCACCACCTCAAGTCTTACGCCACTGACTGTGTGGAACTGGATGATCTCCCACGCACCATCTCCGATCTCCCAAACACTGTGGAGAAGGGCGTAATACGTTGGCGTAAGCTCCGATGCCGGACCGCGGCGGACACCGCGGCGGTGTCCCGCGCCGCATGGAACCCATCCGTCCGGTTCGCATGTTGTACCCACACCTGCCCTGAACTCAAAATACCCCTCCGGCGGCTCACAGAGTCTGCCAACTGCCCAACCTGCTATAGGAAGGTCCAATGTGGTGTTGTCTTTTACAGAGACGGCAACTGCATATTGTATCCAGGTCTAAAAACGGCTTCTTGACCTGGACCGATTAATGAATGAAACACATATAAAGAAATGCAAAGCTTACTAACCATAATGATTCTAGCCAGAAAGATCATCTTCCTACAACATAAAACACCCACACACCACCATCTCAACTTAAATGATCAGACCCCTCTTCTCATCCAATCCATGCCTGTTCGCACTTTGACAGTGCAGCGTTTGCATCGCAGCTGGCCGATGCTGCGACCTGGATGGACTTCAAAGCCCCGAGCTAGCTTTTTCATACCGATGTGGAAGTCAAGGTATGCACACGAACGCTTACCCTGCTGCTTGGAAACAAAAAACAACTGTAGAGAGCAACCCTAGCTTCCGATGTTGTTTAACATGCTAGATACACACGCACAAAAGAACCAGATTCAGGGAAATGAAAATGGCAACATTCCAAGAGGTCTTCCATCTCAATCTCAGCTATTTGCTTCATCGAATTGCAAATACCAGCCCGGCCTGAAGAAGCAGCAACAAAGCTCTCAAAGGATGCATCCCAAAGCATCCGTTCCAATGAGACCTCCTTGGGAAATCTGACGGAACACAAAAAACAACAAAGGCCCTCCAACCCACCTTGGACAATTATTTCTCAGATTGTTCTGAGAGGCATGCAGCATGTTTCATCAGGTCTCTTGACATTGGGCAATTGACTGTCACTATTCACTCATGGTTTAATGAGTTCTTGAGTCGAGCATCCTTCTTCAGCGGACCAAGGCAAACAACCACCACCCAGGGCTACTGGGTGGTTAACTCTCCCAGCCGGGGCATAACTGCATTTCCGTGCCTGAGACATGCTCCTCAAGCTGCGAGGCTGCGGGCATTCAGAGATGTCAAAGAAGCTGGAAGCTGTGGGCACAAGCTGACTAGTTCCCCGGAGCGAAGTCTGCTGGCTAGCCGGTGATGAGTACCCAAGTCTGCATGCGCAGTTTCAGCGTGCGCGTGGCTAGGTCTGTGAGTGGAGTGATGATTGGTTTCATCCACAGGTGCATTATCCTCGTTGAATCCCATGTTCTTGGCACGTTTCCTGCTGTTGTGACGCGGATAAAGATTGGAGCCTTCTGTCTTCTCTGTCTTCTCAATGGGAGCTCCAACTAAAATCCTGCGGAATGAAGTGCACAGATTGAAAAGACGCACCAGCGTTTTCGGGTCAACTCTGGGTCAACTCAATGATGTCAAAAACAAACCTCGGCCAGCGGCGCAAGGTGCTTGCGCGGTGCAGGCACATGCCAAATCACCCCAATTCACCAAATGATGGGTATTGATCAAGAAATGAAACAAGGAAAGGGACAGTTGCCCGTTGAAACATCACTTTGTTGATCCCAGTGCATGTCCTTGGAGGTTAAAAGGGAATCCCATGGTTTCATGAAATACCATCAGCAGCAAAGGCATTGAAAACCACTGGATGTTCAAGTGCTGAAGCCATTGCCATAACCCAGTGTTCTTTTCAGACTCCTTGGCTGCCTTGGCTCCTTCTCTGGTCTGTGAGTCTCAACATCAAATACTTTAGTAAGCCCCTGCTTGCGATACAAAGATGTCAAAAGCATGACAGTGCTGTGACGCCCCTGGGAACGAGGCAATACACGTCGCACGATATATTTTTTCACATATCCCTGCTGTCACCTTGACCCTGCATGACTCTTTGGAAGAGTCATGCGTGAATTGCTGCTGCTGACTCTCAGTGCCGGACAACCCAAGCGAAAGCAAGAAACTGACTATTTAATGATCAAATCTGATATATAAAATATATTATATATATACACAGATGCATATTGTAATGTGAATACATACCAGGCTTTTCTCGCGCAGAAAGGGGAACGTACATCTCCTTCATTTGGATCACCGGCACTGCGCCCATCCACCGCACGGGGCCCGGTGAGACGTGAGACGCTCTGCTGGGCCCTTTGGCCCAGCCTTCATCAATTTCACGGGGAAGGGAGCTTGGGTGGGTTAGACCAAGTAGTTGCTTCGGAGTGCATATACCAAGTACTGAAGGGCTGAAGATGGTGAACATCAAAATGGAAATGGAACAGGTTCCTCCAGAAAAGGCTTAAACTGGTTTTCATTTTCACCCATCCCCATATTGTTGTCAAATGTCATGCATGAACCTGATTGCATTAGACACAATAATATAGACATAATGATAAGTTGTTCTAAATTGGACATCCATGCACAAATAACACCCAACATCTGACAAACATTCTGTAGTGGTTCTTCTATCTACTCAACTTCTACCTCTGCCATGATCATTGCTGAGGTCCAGCATCACTGTTACCGTCCTGCTTCTCATCCCCAGCTTCCCTTTTGACCCCGCAAACGATTCGTTACAGCGAAATTGCCCGCTTGGCTCTCTCTGTTCGCGCACGAAGCGGCCTTCAAGGCTGCGCACAGAAATTGATCAGCGGGACGGCTACTCTCAGTGGTTGAGGAGTCTTTTCTTGTACCCACGACGGGACGACGGAAAATCACCAAAGAAGTGAAACAACAGTGAGGAAAACCACACGACCCAAGGGTGTCCGATCAGTTTCACTCAAACCAAAACATACCTAGGTCTTCAAACGAGCAGAAATAAGTGCTCAACCTGCGTTTCGTAGCACTTTCTTAAGAATCGAGCACTTTCTGGATAAACGAGCAGTTTTTGTAAAACGCGCAGTTTCTTGTGAGTCCCGCGCATTTTTTCAAATCCGCACTTCGAGCGCAAAATTCCGCACACGAGCGCAAAAAAGCGCACACGAGCGCACTTTGGAAAACTGCACCTGTTTTTGCATTTCTTCATTTGCAGCTCGAGCACTTTTTTGCAAAACGAGCAGTTTACACCTCGAGCACTTATTTCTGCTCATTTGAAGATCTAGGTACACGTCCATTTCTATAGTCCCATCCCCCCAAAAGAGAACAAAGGGCATCGCTACGAATGGAGCAAGGACGCTATGAACGTAGCTCCTGGCCTGACTACTAAGAACAAGGACGCTACGAACGGAGCAAAGGGCATTGCTACGAAGGTAATTAACAAGAACTCTAGACTCTAGTCTAGGCATCACCTCGCAACGGGGCCTAAGCGACCGAACCCCTCGCGATGGCGAGGCCGTATCCGGCCACTGCTCGCTGCTCGCCACTGCGGAGCGCCTATCCGCCCAGCTCAAAGAAGCGTGTCTCCGAGGTCCTGGGCGGTTCTTTTTTGGGGGAGCTAACCTCTCGCATTGGCTGTTTTTGGTGGTGTTGCTTTTTGTTTACATCTTTGTCTCCGACGAACTGGGAGGCAACGTCGGAAAGGCTGTACACTTCAGAGGCAAAAAAGGGCTATAGCACCTGGCTATAGCTAATTTGTGAGATGGGAGTTGGAAGACTGAATTACTATCACTTTGGAGAGGTGGTCCATTTCTTCGGGGTGATGCTGATGGAATGTATTCGTCGGAACCAACTGTTTTGAATTTACATCTCGGGGATCGTTGATTGGACTTGTGATATGTGGCATGATTATGGCATGGATCGTCGAAAGGGGCCTGAACACAGTGTCTCAGAATGTAATGTAGACTCTAGACTCTTGATGAATAAAGACCCCTCCATTTGGATAGCCTCTCCATATGGGGAGCTTTTTGTATCAAGAGCCTACACTACATCTTCTTTGGGTAGATCCTGTGCTTTATTATTTGGAATGTGCTTTTACACAAGTAGCCAAGCATCTCCACTGCATAGCAACTTCAAGCTGCCTACATCCCAGCAGTGCGAATCACGCTGCAAGATACATTTCTACCCCGCCACAGACCCACCCCCGAGAATCCCCTATCATGGCTGTGTACATTCCATCACATCATGGGGGAGGACGTGTGAGTAAAGATCATGAGGACGTGCAATCAACATAGCTAGAATTCATCCTGAGCACTCTTTGGACCGGATTCGAGTGCGTACGGTCCATGGACCTGGTCTGAGGTCGCAGCTCGGCCAAAGGTGCCTGGAAGCTCGGACGGAGTTGTGAGGGGGTAGACGAAGCATACACAAGTTGTACCGGCCCCTCCAAGTTGAGGTGGTTAATGGACAACCCAAATTAGTCTTCTATGGAGAAACCCCAAGGAGCCCTGGTACAGATATATACCTTTTCCAGGATTTGTAGGTGACCTTTTCAAGATCTAAGTGACCTCATTCTGGAATCTCAAAAGGTCACTGGGAAGGTCATGGTACATAATATTTATATAAGGTATATATATATACATATTATACTATATACGTAGATATATACAAGTCCTTCGGGGGATTCTTCTTCCATCGGTCGTGTTTCAGTGGGCCATCGGTCTTGCAAAAGCACCCTCACACGTGGCATGTCTGGGGATCCGCGATGTTTCATCTCGATGGCATGTCTGGGGATCTGCGATCGGCTTGGGGTAAACAGATGCAAGCTAAGCGGATCGGGGAAGTCAATGCAAGCTAAGATGGCACACGATTGAGTAATGATTGTTATTTTTAACCTGAGAAAAACAACTCATTACGCATTCCTCATTACACAACTCTTCGTCCATACCCCTCGAAAGAGAGCTCACACGTGAGGCCTAAACCCCATGCCGTATAGAACCAACCGCCCAACATACGCAACTGGCGAGTCGCATCCTCTCCACCTGGTGCATGATAAGTCAGCCACAACCATCGTACCCACAACAACCCCCATCACCCCAACCACAATAGCACGCGAAATACTCCCCTGTTTGCAAAGGATCATAGATGGACCCCCAAACGCTAGTGGCTTGGTATGAGGAAAATGCTCGAACCCACCGGTGGTCTGTCAGGGTCGGGGTCCGTCCACAGGGGATGTGGCGGCCCAGGCCAGGCCCAAAGACTCCCACCGAAGGCCTCTTGGCTGGGCGGTCTCAAGCCTGGTTGATGCGAAGCAAACGGTCTCATCGAAGGGAAGGTCTAGAGTCTATAGAGAGGTTCCAGCATCACCACCTAAGTGCCAACACTCAAGATATCAATATCAATATCAAAAGATCATATTCTGCCTCACCATTCGCTCAAATCCCGCAGAAATTCCCAATAGAGCTCAGGCTGGGGAGGATGTGGTCCTGCTGGTTCCAATGGTTTGGGGTGTCCTGAATTTGGGGACAAGGCCAGTACAACTGCAACGCCAGCGGACTCTTTCCTTCCATCTATGCCATCGGTTCTCTGCTTAGAGGGCTTAGAGGATGGTCTCCGATTCAAAGCCTCAAACTTGGGCAAAGCAAAACAGTCCCCCAAAGCTTCTTCTGAGCAGGAGATGGAGAAATTTACCAAAATTGTGAATGTTTCTTCCTGAAGGTGGGAAAGCACAACGAGACCAGACCCCGCTGCTCTCACTTGGTCGCCTCTTGGCAATCCCCGAGCTGCTTCGGGGCTGAACCTCAGTGTTGGGCTCTGCAGGCATTTGAACTCCTACAACGGGTTCCATCCAGCTGGTGACAAGAAGCGGGTGGATTCATTAAATCAAAGGAAGTGGCACCAGGTGGGTAGAAACTTACTTGTCAATGGAACCTTTTGAGAACTAGCTCAACTTAATCTTTGGCAGGTGCGCAAACCCTATATGCACACAAATGCATTGAATACATCTAGTGGCCCCCAAATAGATAGAAACTTGATCCAATACATTTTTGGTGGGGAACAAAATCTATCTATTTGGGGGTCTGTATATTAATATATATACAATATACAATATCCCTGGTGTCCTTGGTCCCAGGATCTCCACGTCCATCTCTGGGTGTGGAATGGCTGTAAGAGCCTTGATCACCAAACCTCTCTCCACTGATTTCGGTGGACCTACTTTCATATCACCTCCACAAATAGTTCCCAAACCTGCTCTGCTGACAGTACACCTGAGGAAGCTCCAACCACCATCAACAACCTATAGGTACAGCGAGCGTGCCTTCGGCAGGTGGCCACAAACCGCGTTCCAGCCAGGCCGCAAGGTGGAGGAACTGCTGCTCCCTCCACAGGGGGGAGCTGCGTCGCGTCCTGCTGCGGGACACGGCCACCGGAGCATGGCCAACGGCGGCGCAGTCGTGTACCGGACACATCGTGGGTGAGCCAATCTCGGCGTGAATTGGCGATAGTCTTTGAAGTTTGAAGAATATGGTCCGTGAGATTCCATTTATCGGCATCACTGGTATAGTCCTAAGTGTATGTTCTAAACGGTCAAACCCATCCGATGGTCGCACCCTCCGGTGGCCTTGCGCGTTCAGCGCGTTCGCCTCGGGCACCTGCGCTTCCACATGTGCCTCGGCCAAGGCAAAATGAAGCCTTTGGTCTTTGTTTCTGGGCCAAAAGAAAGCAAACTCTTCGTTGGAACATTAATGTGCAGAAGGGTTCGTACTTTGTCACGAATCCTGCTTGGGCAGGAGAGAAAATGGACCCCATCTGATCGAACCCGCATTCAGCAAAACACACCCAGCCGCAAAACCGCAAAAAATAGAACGCGTGCAACGCGTGGAGCGCGGTGGTTCGCCGGGAGCTCCGGCGAGTGAAGAGCTCAAAGGAGCGCAACTGCTGCTGCTACTGCCTGGTCTGGGCACTTGGAAGTTGGGTTCGGTGGAAGAAAGTTCGGAAGTGGGCAACACTTGAGCGGTGTGGAAACCCGGTCTACGATCTGCTATACTCTCTACTTGCTTAAACAGTTTGTGAGAGGTTTTTGACGCTGCTCACTTGTTTTTTTCAGTGACTTCCTTGCTCTTAGATGTGGGATGAATCCAAGGCCACCTCCACCAACAAACGGCCAGGGAGGGGGTGTGGCAACGCAAATATACAACTTAACGATGGACATGCATATATACACTGCGCAAGATGCAATAAGGTGCAAAGGCACACGTATAATGATGTCAGTGTGATCATCGATCTATCTGTGGTCTCTGTGTCCGTCCCACACTCTTCACATCACCTGGAGGGGCACAACTTTTGTACCTGGAAGGCCTTTCAACGTTGCCCGAATAGGGATCCCAGCGTACCAGACCAAGGTAAAAATGATATTAGCCTGTTCACTTCAAATTGTTGTTGTTGTTGTTGTTGTTGTTGTTACGTTTTACCATGTTCAAGGGCTTTGCCCAAAAACAACCACAGGTGTTGCATGGAGTAGCAGTGGAATTCCCCTTCTGTCCGGGCCCCCCCCAACCCCAAGCTGCCCAAATTTCTATCCCAACTCCAAAAAGAAACTTGTCTCGTTCGAAGAAGCTTGGTATACTTTACCACCTGGGTTTCGGGTACATGTCTAGTCTACATATACAGAGCGAGAGAGCAAGAGTCTGTGAAACTACATACCCCAAACACTCCATGTATGGCATATTTGCCTACATTGGGGTGGTTTCAGGGGTCCATGTATGCATATATTACATATATTCCATACATGGAGTGTCTGGGTACCATATGACTAGGCTTTGTACGACTGTGGCATCTGGGTCTCTGAAACTTGCTTCTCAAAAAAGGGAGATTCCGGCGGCTAACCAACGGCCACAAGAAGCACAAACATGTTTTCACCCCTTGGAGAGAACCTGCATCCGCCAAACAACAACTTGTATATGAAGATCAAAGTCACCCATGCCATCCATCCACCAATCCTCTCACTCATGATCTCAACCTCTGACCACTCTGGACCAATCCCTTAAAGCCACGATCACTTGGGAATTCACCGGAGGAGTTCGCCCTTCCGAGCCGCGCCACGACCAAGCGGAGGAGTTCACTCCGACCGAGCCCGGCCTCCCCGCAAGCCGCTTTGTGCACCCTGCGGTCCGAAGACGTTCGTTTTGGGACAGGTCTTCAAGGCACAAAGACGAAGGTCTTCCAAACAGGTTCGAAAGACAGGTCTTCCAAACGATCACAAAACTTACCCAGGTTTTTGACCCAGGTTTGCACGGTGTTTTTCCAAGCCAAACCTTCAGGACAAACTGCAAACCGCCACCAACACACCGTAAATAACAAGGCTTACCATGGTTTTACTCGAAGGCCGAGCAGGATTTGTTGCTTGGACCGTAGTGCAGTCATTGTCATGCTCATCCGACCAAGTATAGGTATACATATTTTTTAAAATTTTTTCCGATGCCATGATCTCGTGTCCATTCTTATTGAACTGTTCTGACTATTCCATAATACATGCCTGTGGACAACGATGTGTCTCCACAGCACACAACACAATACATTGATCGAATCCAAGCAATCCCAAAAATCACACGGAAAATGGAACCGCTCAACAATTTCTACAAGTTCTAGCTGGACTGTATGACTCGCATCAAAAAGATTCAGCGTAACAACAAATGTTACCCCTCATGGCTATAAGTCCCAGGTTGCCTCATTCCAAACGCAACCAAGCTCAACCTCCTAAGCTATCCACCTCTATATGCCAATACTACAGCACACTTGTTGCACGTCAAATAAACATTGTCGGTTCTTTTGCCAAACCAATCACCATGAATCAATCGCTAATACACAAAAAACAAAGTGGATCTAGGTCTGCATGCTTCATGAAAGCAACCCTTGCGAAGTATGATTGTAAACGTCCAGCAACAAACATCTTGGTTGCTTATGTGTTGTTTGTTCTACACCGACGTTTAACCCTTATAACTTATGCCCCAGCACAAAGAAAAAACACAAACAAACAAACAAACAATCATATGACTCAAATGGTGTCACTTCTTCTCAGCACAAAACCTGTAATTACAATTCTAAGCACAAGGCATCAAACCAACAAGAACTGCAAAATCATAACACATGAATTATAACCCATGAACCAAAATTGTACTATTAAATATAGACTACATACACATTCTATGAAAAACAAAAATATGGACAAAAACAAACAACAATCATACAAAGCAATCATACACCCCAGCAAAACAATCATACAAAGCACCGCAAGAATCTGAATCTCGGCATCCACCCCGGGTGGACTGGGCCGCGCCTGTCCCCCGGGTGGACGGGCAGTGCCCGCACCGGCGCTGCCGCCGCGGCCGTGCCGGTGGTCCCGCATCCTCGGAAGCGCAACGAATTGGAGTTGAGGACCTCTTGTAAGTGGAGAAAAAAGAAAATACTGATACAGAATGTTACAGCGATGACTACAGACAGTTGAATGAATAATTAAAGGAAGGAGCCTCCCAAAGTGGCTGAAATTACAGCGAAGTTGTCCGAATGCGACATGGTCATCTGTTCCAAGCTGATGTTGACACTTGTGTGCATCTACCGGAATTCCTGTATTGCAGCTTTCAGAACTTAAAAAAAAAAAAAAATATATATATATATAGAGACTCAGCAAAGGGTGGACCCCATCGTCAGTCGAACGGTGCCCTCGTGCGTCGGGGCCATGTCGATCGTGGCAAGTCACAGGAAAGCAGCAAGCGGTGGAAGGGCAGGCGTGAGACGCATGACAGTCATGTCGCTTCGCTTTTGGATCGTTTTGCATCTTGAATATGACATCTTAGACAAACGTCACAGGATGGTTAGGTCCCAGATAGATGGTTAGGTCCCAGACCTTTCTCTAACATAGTGCTGTTCGGTGATGTTCTTGTTTACCGACTTCAAGGTAAATGGACCAACCCAACATATACAGTGTATATATATATATATAGTGCAACATATAGTATACAGTCTCCACAATTGTAGTAATATGGTTAATATCATAAATATATATTATATATTTAAATATTTACATGATAATGTCATACTATATGTATATATTATATATGTTGATCTCTCGCTTCGCAGCGTTCCATCCCATCGACCGGGTGCTCGAGCACAGAGCTTGGAGCGCGCTCTCCCAACTCCTGAGGCGCCCCAACTTGCTCTGACCAGCCTGGCACAGGAGATCCACCGTCACAGGTTTGATGTCATGACAAAGCATATGCCCCTCAACTTTGCTCCGGAACATGCACGGAACGGCATCGAATGCAACACATGGCCTCGCCAATCATCTTTCAGTACAACATAGCACAACAAAGTCAGCACCTGCTAATGATGCTCATGCAAGGTGGGAGTCCAGTGCGGGTTGCAACATGGCTTCTACATATCTTTTTGTTCTTGTGAGGATGACTACAGTAATTAGTTTAAAAGTGATGATTCACCCCTATTCTGGTATGAAGGATGATTTCGCAGAAGTGTCTAGGTGCCAAATAAGAATGGATGTGTTTCTGACTACCCCATTAATGAATCAGTCATTTATCCCTTCTATGGAATGTTAACAACAAAATGTACATTTCCGTGCTGTGGAGTCTAGATTGAGTCTAAATGTCAACTTGCGCCCTGGGAAGACACTCAAAATACAAGAAGCACACAAACATGACTTGGCACCAACCAACCGCCCAGGGCTCGGCTCGATTCAGGGAACCGTTTTGGTTCGCATCTCGCCACGACTCCGTGCGGCGCGGGGCCGCCTTGGACAAGGTGGCCGAGTTACCAGGGAGGGGCTCGGAGGGAGGAGGCGCCGGCCTGGGAGGAGGCGCCGTTCTGCAGTGGCGGTGGCGGGGAGGCGACGATCCGAGGTTGGCGTGGCCTCGTGGCCTCTTGAAGGGAGGAATCGAAAGGAAACACGGGAAAACAGGCATTCAATGAGGTTGTACTAGGAACAAGAAGCTATTAGGGGCTCCTGGCATCGCTACTAGGAGCAAGGACGCTACTAGGGGCTCCTGGCCTTACTACTAGGAACAAGAAGCTATTAGGTGAAAGAGGACTGTTAATCAAAGCTGGTGATTTGAATCTTCCAAGAAACACTACAAATCGCTGAAGAGCCCACAATACCGTGCAAGACACATCAAAACACTGAAAGAAGGACTCCAGCTTTTCAATCCTGTTCATTACGCAAGTCATTGGAATTGAAACCAATGTGAGAGGTTCGATGCCTCCAGTGTTTTTTCTTGTGTGTTTGGAAAGAGAGTGGGCCATGGAATGCCTGTGGATACAACCTCCCCGGATGCAACCGGGCAGACTGACTTGGACTTCGCACATGGGAGCGTTCAGCTGCTGTTTGCAGTGGTTTGCTGGAGATCTCCCCAGTACACCGACACATGGCTTGTAAGCATCTGTTTCACTGTACATCATCAATTCCATCCGACAACTTGGATTTCATCACAATCTTGGCAAACATAAAACCTCTTCATCCCTCTTCCCTCAGGAACATCGTCCCACAGTTGAGGAAGGACATCTTAAGCAATGCAAACACAAATTATCCGGCCCATGTCAACACACACTAAGCATGCGGCGCCGGCGCTGTCTTGTGGCTGTGCAGGATTTGTAAAATCAGCTCCTGTCAAGCTGGCAAGAGGCTGAAGGTTTGTGTTCAATAAACTTATGAAGAGGATATGTCTTCTCACTGTGTATTGTTTGCACGTGACCAGTAGAGAGTCTTAGCTGAGAGTGATTTGAGGCACCTCTGGGACTTTGTATTTTTGCAGTGTTGCTTAGCTTCACTGTATAAAGACCTTCACACGTTCCTGAACACACCAACAATCGCTTCCATAGAATTGCGATTAAGGCAGTCTCATCCCGTCTTCCATCATCATCCATGGACATAGAAAGTAGCAATCCCCTGTCATCCTCCATGTTCAAGGGGGTAAACAAGAGCAAGGTACGTACCACGAACAAAGAAACCATTCCTCGCTGTTCCTAGATCCCGACGGATCTAAACACACACAACAAAGAACGTGATCCACCAAAACCGCCTGTTTTCTCCACCAGTTTCCCTTGTCTTTTTGCCCCAAATGACCAGGTGCACTCTTCTTCTTTCGGCGCCCGGACCGCCGGGGACCAAGCCCGCCGCCTTGTCCAGCTCCGCGAAGCTGGTGGTCTTCATGACCTGACGGGCGGACGGCCATCCCAGTGTGATGCTCTGCATATATGGTATACATATAATGATATATAATGCATGTATATGGTACCAAAACGACAACAAATAAACGACAACAAACGACCATCTAAAGACGAGGTCGTTTGTTGTCCCAGCGTGCTTTGTAAAAAATGAAAAACGACAACAAACGACCTCGTAGACGACATGTCAGGTCGCACGTTTTAACATGTTTTCAGCTCCTGCCACTCTCTCACACAAAAACTAAGCATGGAATGGATATCCGACGTGTCCTGGAAACACAAAACAAAACGGTCCACAAACGCTTGGCTAGACTTTAGAGGGAGGCTTCCAGGAAACCCACGTCGACGAACCTCCGACCAACGAGCATGCTTGGAGCGTGACAGGCGATCGACTTCGCTCAACGAGTGAACGTGACAGGCTCGGTCAAACACACGCGTGTTCACGTTTACGTCGTTAACCTGGGCTCGGTGAAACACACTGCCGGTGAAACACACTGCCAAGTCGAAGGTGATTCCAGAAGCCCTACGGCAATCAATCCCATCATATCCGAAACACCCCATCTGCCAAATTTGGTCGCTGCCGGCCAAGGCGCCAAATGGAAGTTGGCCGAGTCCGTCATGAAGAGCAACGCTCGGCTCCGCAGCCTGGGTTGAGTAAAGGGCTGGCAGGATGAGGCATCCACCAGGACGATGGGTACAGTGCCATCCAGTGCCTGTGAAGTGCTTGACTGTGCTTCTTGCAGTTGCCGTTACCACTGTTGGTGTTGTTGTTGTTGTTGCTGTTGTACTTTGTCTCCTGATTGTTGTATGTAGTTTGAGCTAACGTTCATCAAGTCAAGTTGCTTTGTCTCAAAATGAGGCCCTCAAACATCTACCCTTCCGTGTTTCTCCAAGTCTTGCAAACCGGACCAAACCATCCAAGTGCAGCCAGCCAGGCTTGTTGCTTCTCTTTGCACGTAAGCGAATTTGAGGACGGACCCAGGACCCACCAACCATCGGCAAAGAACACGGTCGAACAACAGCATCTCATCGTACTGGCGCCAACGTGGATCATTCCCCACACATATCCACTTGCCACTCACATTCCATGGAAGTGGACAACATGGCCCCCTGGAAAGAGGACTTTCCTGTGAAAGAGGACTTTCGCAGTTTCTTCAAAGTTTCTTCACTTTCATATGTGTCGGACCGCGTCGGACGTGACGTGCGTGCACATGCAACCATCATATCACGCCACCGAGGCCATCCCGTTCCCCCGGCCGTGTGTGTTTTCTTTTCCCAGTGCGCGTGAGCAGCTGTAGCCCTTAAGAGCCGGTTGCCCCGGTGCGTGCCCCCATGTCTGGTAGCTGTGCTTGTAGCTACCCAGTGTGGGTGGTGGGGGCATAGACAAATGTTTCGTACCCAGAAAAAAAAAAAAACAACTGGATGAAGACGTCCGGATGTGCTGAAAACCTCTGAAAACCAGGCCCAGATCAAACTTCCCACTCTGTCCACGCTTCCTTTCTCGTCTATGTCCATCGCCTTCAGATGTCCTCTGAAAAAATCGTCCCGCCTGCTGCAGGAATACTTGTCTGCCAGGGCGAAGATTCTCGCCACGTTGTCCACCGACATCGCCTGAACCGAAAGGTGACCAAGGCACTATATCGGCCTTGGTTTGGGGCGATCGGTGGGTTCGATGACCAAGGCACTAAGGCCTCTGGTTGGTTCGATGACCGATTTGAAGAACGGGGTGCCTAATACGGTTCCCTGTTTGAGAACTGTGTCGTGAACTCTGATACACCTTCATTCATGAAGCCAGGCTTAGAACGTGTGACCACGGACAATGTGTTCTTACCTAATAAACTCCCTGAAAGAAATCAACACAACAAGATAAACATAAACAAACTAAAATGTTTCTTGGACCATGCGAGTGTACAATTTTGTGTACAAAGGTTCTGTGCAATTCTGTCTTTTGAGGTGAAACAACAACTTTAATGGTTGTTGGAATTCCATGTCAAGGATCGATTGCTTGTGGGATACCTCTGCCAGCCAACCAGCCAGATTCCAACCCTGAGGATCCTGAATCCCATATCCCAATAAGAAAAACAGCAAAACACTCTGCATACTGCATGCTCATCATTACCGCCTGAACCTTCACGCAAGGTGGTACTGGTGGGCTTCTACCATCCACTCATTGTACGTGTTCAATTGTATCGATAGCGCCGCCACCCTCTCTACCCCCGCCTCCCACCCCGTCTCACCCTGCTCCCCCCTCACCCACCCCGCCCCGATCAGCGTCCGCTCGCACAAACGCTTCAGGTCTAAGACCTTTCGGATGTGAAGGGAGGGCCACGGGGAGCTAGCAAGCATCACTATGTTCGTAGCTTCTTGCTACTAGTAGCGATGGCCTCCAACCTACTAGCGATGGCCTCCACCTAGTAGCTTCTAGCTACAATTTGATTTGAAGAGATGACATGGACATTTGGATAAAAACGTTGATAGAGCAGCAAAGTGTCTTTGGAAGCAAAAAATCAGTGCTCACTGAGGTTCCTTCAAATTGATGGGTCAAAAATGGTCGAAACTTAGTCTGGAGAAACCGTGGCAGTCTGAGGCACAGACTGAAAAGCGATCGGCGATGGGGAGCATATCAAAGGCAAAGTCAGCATCTTCCACGACCCAGTCCTCAGAAGCGGGTCTCACATTGGGAAAGACGTGCAGTGAGTCTGCATGAGGTTCACTGGTAGCTACCAGTACTGAATTTGAAACAGCCTCAGGAGATGTCAGGAGCGTCAGGAACGTGCGCGTGAGGCTGAGCCGGAGCTGGAGGTGGGAAAGAACCAGTTGACCTGAGAAATCCCAAGGTTTTGGCGTCAGTGTTGGCCAACTCCCAGAACCCAAAAAAGACCATGCTGGAGTGACACCCTGACAAAAACATCTCATTCTGGCGCTTCGTGACTTTGATGGAACCCCTTGAGGGCGGGGGTTCAACGATGATCAAAGCCTGGGGTCGAAAGAAATCATTAACCAGAATATAAAAAATCCCTGATATTGCTGCACGTTGCCCCACGGGCATGATTAACATGATGGTTGTTGCCTCGTTGACATCCAAACCAAACAAACTTTCACCGGCACCCTCCAACAGGTTATATGATTGAACTTCTCACTTGGACACACCTGTCAGAACAAACCGGGCGTCAGATGTGGATGTTCATCACACCGGGCGTGGGACGTTGTTTGTCACGTCGTTCCAAGGCGCGTCAGCGTAGATGAAGTTCAACAGCAAAAGCAGCTGTTCGAAGGTGATATCCTCACAGGATTTCAATGTGGTTCATGGCACGCGACGTGGGGTTGCTCGCGTCAGGGGCGCACGACTCCGCGACTCTGACCGCACCCTACTTTGCCCAGGACGTCCTTTTCTCCGAATTGGATAGCAGGGTTTTGGAGTGCTAGGCTTCCACCCACAGCCATTGACAGCTTAGCACTGAATATGCGGAACCTCATTACTGTGGTTCAATTCACTTTAATTCACTTTATACTTTGTGGAGTGGAGAGTGTTGGCTATATTGCAGTAAGTGATGTTTAGAAAAATACTGACACCGTGACACCAGTCTTGCATTCAACTGCAACCAGCACCCACCACCCTCCACCTCTGAATCCTCAACAAAACAAGTGCTAGGCAAGGCAAGACTTCCTGGAATCATTTTGGGGGAAACATTCTACAGAGAGTCAACCAATCGTTTGCTCCAACAATACCTCAATTTTGATGTTCCTCTCGCGGGAACTTAAAGACATGCCCGACCTCCAAGAAATGAAGAACATCCTGGCCCTGGAGCAAGCCCCGGATTTTCAGCATGCCTAGTTGGTCGGAGTCATTTTGGGGGAAGGTCACACACACATATATGTATATATAACTACTATATATATATATATACACTATATATAAATTGTATTATATCACATGGAGTGTCTGGGATCGAATTTGTCCCGGGGCCGGGACACCACCTCCGCGGTGTCGCGCCGCACGTCCGCAGCCTTTCCTCTAGAAGGACTCGGCCTTCACTTCGCCTTGGAGCAGAGTGGAAGGCTGGAAAAAGGTCCCTGCCCTGCATCGATGGTGAAATCTGTTGGGAAGCAGCCTTGAAGTTGGAACACAGGGAAAGCACTACACAAAAACACTCAGCAACAAGTTCCGCGAGGGGTGCAGGCCAGGGTTGGAAGTCCAGAAATCCACACACTTGATGGACAACACAACACACATTATATAAACCACACATCTTCACTCTGCAAAGGATGAACAGTTTGCCCTCCATACTTTCCTTGGCCAAGCATCGACCAACCCCCGACGCCGGTCGAGTGGCTCCCGGAACTCCGAGGAAAACAACGCACGGAAGTAGGAGGATCCTTAGCGGATGTGAACAAAGGCGCGGAACAAAGACTCCTATGCAGTGGATGCAATGTGGATGCAATGGATAGGAAATGATAGGAACCATGTTCAAACAAAAATCCAACCCAAACTGAGTCATTCAGTTTTGGCAGTAGAAAAATAAATAACAGAGCTATACAGAACTGTCTGGGATCTCTGACGCTTGGATCAATCACATTCTTTTGGATGGGGAACTTCCAAGAGTCTTTGGGATTTGAATATTTATTGCATGGCCATATGTGATTTTCTGTGTCCCGCTTGGTGAGGAAAGTCCTTGTTCAATCACGAGAGGAAATCCGTCTGTGTCTGAATATGTTGCCGTCATGCCCAGCCTACCCACTCCACCAAGTCCCTTAAAACCCACCACATGCGATGTCATGGCTATGTCGATGGGTTTGGATTTTGCCCCAGTCACTGGATAGTAGAAACACATTAGAGCATGATGATGCATTCAGTTTCCAATTGAACAATGGACTTTGGATTGCAAAGCCACTAAATATCCCCACTTGATATGATTTGATATGGCTTAGAGTTCTTTGCGCAGTCCCCCCATGACCACCTGTCAACACCGGTCCACCGGACAGCCAATGGAACCGATGAACGACACATGTTTCTCCTTACGCCAATGGAACGAACTGGCTCCTCGAAACCGAACTGGCGGCCCGCCAGGCCCTTCAGCCGCCAGAAACCAAAGAACCTCCAGCCGCCACTCCTCCGCCACGCGGCGACTCGCGAGGAGACACTTCTGCGCGCAGAGCTCTGAGCTCTCTGGATCGGAGCCGGGGATCGAAGCGGCCTGGGACGGTGGAGAGGTGGCAAGACTGGACTTGTCGGTGCGGACGTGTTTTTCTGGGACGTGTTTTGTCGGTGCTACGATTTGTTTCATGTTTTGTTGCAGAAAGGCTGTTTAAACTTCATGAACTGAACTGCAGTTTGTAAAGAATTATTACATCAGTTGCCCCTTTCACGAGGTATGGTCTGAATACGGTCCGAAATATTGCACGCCTGTGGCGTTGGTGGGTCACTATGCAAGCTTCTCGTGTATAATATATATATAGTGTTGGTTCTCCCCCGGCCGCCGGCTTCTCAGCGCTGGTCCTTTTCCTTCCCATAAAGTCACACCAATGGTCTGTCGCATCAAACCATAGGGAAACCTTCAGTTGCTATCCATCATAACGGAAGCTGTTGTCTGTTGCCATGGGCTCTTCTCATAATCCAAATCTGGATCATGCTGTTTTGGTCGTCAGCCCTGAGGGCTTTAAAGTGAACTGGTTCTGGAGCTCACCATGGGGTTCCAATATACCTGCTCCGACCGCTGAAAAAGGGACGACAGCGTCAGCAACGCAAATGTGTCTCGTGTCTGTTATGCATGGGCAATGTGCTTGTCTCTTGAGGATTGCCGGAAGGGGTCAATGTTGAATCTATCAAAACAAAGGGGCGGGTGCCTCTTCCTATGGACATGCTTTATGTATCCCCAGGCCTATGTCCCATTTCTCCCATCTCGTATTTCTTGTCTTCACCCCACACACGTCCTTTCCACTCTCTCTCCATCACCTGTCTACCATCGCTCTGGTCCAGTTACCCTTTCCACTTTCGACGTTTCCATGTACCGGGGATCAAACAGAGCTGCCGCACCAGCAACATCAAAATGGCAAACAAACAAGAAACCACATAATTACTTTGCTGGCATCCCTCCCACCACCCTAGAGACTTTGAAGTCATACGGCCAGTCAGTGGATACTATGATACTATGATGCCATCGAATTAATCAACTCAGTTAATATGTGTATTACACTGTATTACATTATCTAATATATTACATATGGTCAAAGTTTATGTGTGATAATATGGAGTTGGAGTGCTTCGCTGGCAACCTGTCGGTGGATCACGGCGGGCCTACTTTGCGCTCCTCGCGTCTATTTTAGTACAAGCTGCTAGTAAACGATATGTATACAATTAATTACTGCAGCAAGAATAATTTAGTTACTCTTGCTGCAGTGCCGGTTGGGAGAGGCCATCCTTACATATTCCCAGGCTGGCATGGGCTGGGCTAGACATCATGTGTGAAGCAAACCATCATGTGGGTGTGCATTGAAATAGGGAAACACCTAAAGATCTCCGGTCAAAAGACTAGAGACCTATCGGTTGGGTCGTCGTCGTCTCCCTACTCCAAAATGTGCATTGATCTGCAGTTCCAGGATGTTTGTCAGTCCTGTGCCACACCTTCACATCAAATCTGTACTCAAACCCTGAGCGCTTCGCCAACGTCACGTCGCAGCTCTCCTGCGGAGAACTGTGTTGGAAAGAATGTGCGGACCATGATCGCACTTGGTACAATGCCCTTAAATTGAGCTCTAAGTCGGGAGGTTTCGACGTTCGTCGCTTCGTTTTCCGCGAATAGGCTACTATAGGTTCCGCAACTTCTCTCACCTGCGGTAGAGCTGATAAAGCTGAAAGCCAGCCACCCAAAGCGGTGAGTCTAAATCCCATGCGTCACCTGCGCCTTGAATCCAAATCCCATGTCAAAGCGATGAGGGGGTGCACGAGAGGAACAGAACCCTGCGGGGGGGGCCACTCACACGCCACCAATTTCAGCTGTTAAACAACGAACGTCCCTAAGAATGGAAAAGGATGGAAACGGCTAGAATGGCTGGGCTCTAAAACGACTTCTTGGGATAGTGGCCTTCATCAATCAGTGATCTGCAGAAACACAGTCACGGCTGCACAACGGGCAGCTGCTCTTGACCAACGGGCAGCGGCTTCAGCCGCAGTCCTTGTCGTTCAACATCTGACGCATGTGTTCCTCGGCCGGCTCGTTAGAGCCGTGTTGGCCAGAACCAATGCTGGTGCATCGCACGACACAAGCAATTTGAGTCATAATGATTGAACTTTTGGGCTAGCCATGTGCTATTCTTCTTCCTTTAACTCCACAAATGGCTGGTACTTCTTCCCGAACTGTGGCTCAGGGGAGCCATGTCTGTGGAAAACAACAAACAGATATATATAATACATTGTAGTTGTATAATATAAAGTGACCCCAACTATTGAATATTATCGTTTCTGTCTGTTTGGGGACCACTACATCTCGAAACCCACATTTTAAGCCACCCATTGAGTCTTCTGAATTGTTGGGTCCCATGTCATGACCTGCTTGGACCAGTTGGCACGTGGAGTTCATAGGTTGTCACAACCCTTGCCTCGAGAGGGGTCCTACAAATCCATGCAACTTTGCGGCAGAAGTGCCAATGCTCTTGCGATGCTTCAGACTATTCCTCCCCCTCCCCGAAGTTTGGGACTTATACGTATGGACTCGATGTGATTCCAAAAGAAACACCGTTCTGCCTCTCCGCGTCCGCACCGAAAAACCACCTCCAAACACCGCACCTCAAGCATCGTGGCATCTTCGTCCTTGATGGGAGCTTCGATGTCCTTCAGCGTCAAAGGATCCCAACTAGAAGGTTCCAACTAAGATGTATCCTGACTCCTAATCCGTTTCCCTTAGAATACAAAGGTTTAATTAGTGAGGACGCCAATTCCCAACAAAAAAGGTTAGGCAGGGTGTCCACGGTTCCTGCGTAGAGCATGCCGGGATTGGTTCAAATGGCTTCCTGGTTGCCCCTCAGACTCCACGCAGTCGAACAACAATCACCAAAGATTGAAAGTCTTGAGACTGTACATGAGTTAGGTTGGAGGCTTACATGACCTCGAGGTCACAGGTGTCGGTGATCTGAAGCGACGATCAAGCAGAAGAACCTGCCTTGTTCCAGGACATTTGTTTTAAGCAATACCTTAATGTGTAAATGTGTAATAGACGTGTGCAGCTGTGTAAGATCTCTGCATAGGAATGACATGCTGACAATGTCTCTTTCATTGATATCTGTTGAAAATTGTTTTGCTAATATATGTCTTCAATATATGGCTGTCCTGACGGTGATTTGTGGGAAAACCCTGTATTGGGTGGTTCGTCTGCTTGGTTGTGTTCGTTTTGCCTGGTTTGTCTTCAGCCACATGCAAAACAAATGTCCAAAGAGGGTGTCAGCCATGTGACGCACATTCACTACATCAAAGGTCACAGGACTTGCTTAAGGAAGTGAAAAGGGACATTGGTGGCCAGTCCACTTACAAAGTGGAAAAAGGGGATGAACCATCTGAAGAGCGGCGTCAGTCTGTGTGGAGAACCGAGACCGGGATCCAGGGGGCCTTCAGCAGTGCTCGACAGACTGGAAAACACCGACATTAAGATCGATCAACGTCCAACAGTTAGTGGATCCATCTCACAATGGATCCACATCACCCTCATGTGATAGGTTCGCAAGCTTTTATGCCGTGCTCCTGGAGATCAAGAAGTGTGCCTCGTGCCAGCCTCGGGTCGGCAGTGCTCACTCTATGAGGTGGACATGAACTATGTTCGAAACATGTTTGCATCACCATCTATGACATATCATATGATCCCTTTTATTCCATAATTATTGTTGTAATATGTAGTCCTTCCAACAATTGCGAAACCAATCAACATCCGTCATGCCAGGATCCAAAACCGTTGGTCCAAAGCCTATAAGTCTATATACATGTTGGATCCTTTGCACGTCCGAGTCTTGGAGATCTGTCATCTTCGATGTCTTCGTTTGCGACGTCCGGGCGAAACGTCGTCCATGCGGTCGTTCGGGCTTCCAACGTTTCTCGGTAGGCCACGTCGTCCAACCTTGGTGTGATGCGACACGCTGTGGATGTGATGCGTGGCGTCGCTGCCGCGTCCAATCGCATCGGTTCTGATGCGAACATCAGCAATTAGATTCCCCCCCCCCCCCCCCCCCCCAAAAAAAATATTATATATATACAGTAGAGATTGCCATATTTACCAGCTGGGAAAGGACAGAAAACTCCTTTTTTCAACTTATTGTTTGGGGAGGTGCCATCTCCCAAACGGCTCAGAGCACCGCTTGAACGATATGCCTGACCTGACCTCTAAACATCTCTATAGACTCGAAACCACGCCCTAAAGGGGACACCAGATCAAACGCCCAATAAACACTTAGGCACCTAAAGCATAGCAATCAGTTTTGGAGAGTGAATCATGACTCTTTGACTCACTGATTGACACCAACCCTCCGAAAGGACGGTGTCGCAGAACTGAATACAACACCCCCATCATATGGAATACACCAACCGGAACATAATCATGAGATGCTCCTCACAAATCCCCCTTCCAGAAAGGACCACTCCGAACCAGTCCTTACTCCCAACCAATCCTATATGTGGCCTTATACTGTATTAAGACTCAATCTAAAGAATTCGACTCGATTGTCGGATGATTGATGGAGATGCAACCTGGCAGTTTTTGTTTCCACATTTTCATAGGATTGGAATGGATTGTTGGATTGACAAGGGTTGACTACATATAGTTCTTGTGCTTTACCCGCTATACTCCCTGTATTCTTCGACGTCGACGCGATCTCGAGGCGCGGACACCAGCGCCTGGCCAGTGGGCAAGAAGAAGATCCCCCAGCCATCACCCTCAGGCGACCCGGGCCATTCCTCAGCCGTGATCAGCCGTGCAAACAGGGTGCGTTCCGCGGCTCGGTGTCGCGTCCGGGTGTCGCCACATGAACGGCACGGGCCCCCGGGCGGGATTCGGTGGCACGGGCGACCTGGGGAGGCGACCGGTGGGGATCCGGGTGGAGGCCGAAATCGGTCACCCTCCCTGGTCATAGTGGGACCTTCGCAGGCTTCAATGGCAAAACCTGCTTGAAAAAATAGGCAAAGAAAGCACGTCTTAAGCCACAGCAAAGGACACTTGAGAGGTTCCATCCATGATTGTCGCTCAGCTTTTGTTGCTGTGAGAATTTCAGGTATTTCAACATGGTCGATGGGCCATGAACACATCATACTGTCATATTAAAAGCTATATTATACACATAAATAATAGGCTGGACCAATACATGGGACTACCATTTACTATACTACTTGCGCACATCATCCAGGTGAACAGGGTAAGGTCACGGTTTTAGGTTTGGGGTCTTAGGGTTGAGGGCTTAGCAATAGTGATAGTGTTCACACAAAGCTGCTGCAAACAAAGGTGTGATGTTGGTGCTGGTTACAGGTCCATGATGTCTATGTGCAAACAATGATGTGTAATGGCCGTCTGTTCACGACGAAAGCAAATGGTCTTTAGGGTGGTGATGGCACCCTGCCTATATAGCTATGTAGACAAAGCACTTGTATAAACGCACCACTCATCAAAAATATGACCTGTTTGATGCCTAGAGACTTGTAGGAAAGCCTTGATGCTTATCATCAATTAATGTCAACATATAGCAAAGTACAGCAAATGTAAGGTTGAACATCACAAGCACTCACACTTTCTTGACTCGGGCAGGTGTAGAACATCTGGATTCTCCGCCTTCTCCCAGCTTTCAAAGCTTCAATTTCAGGTCGTGGATTCTCCACCCCTCCGGTGGTGGATTCCAGTCTTCCAAAGGTGTGAAAGCTGCGGCCCGCCCTTCCGGTGCACCCAGGCACTCATCCGGTGGTGGCACTTCGTCGTGATAACCTGGTTCAGAAGAGGATCAGCTGGGATCGGTTTGAGCCTGCTTTAGAGGTCATGTTTGCATGCTTGAACAAGACATAGCCAGTGGATCAAGGTAAACCACTAGTTTGCTGGTAACCAGTTGTTCCAAAGACTAGAAACATAGACTTAAAACACTGGTTCCTTATATAGTGACTGCATGTGACTGCCTGGGATCCGGGATAGTGAAGCTCAAAAAGAAACATGTGGAGCAATACAAAAACCAACAAAAAACACCGGAGATCCCATCGGATCCGGTTCGGGAGCCAGTTGGGCAGGATTTTGCCACTTATTTATGTTTATGTTTATAGAAACATATTTGAAACGACCAGCCGCCAGCCAGCTCGGATGGACGCTTTCACCTGGCAAAACCCAGGTAATGACAACCGCTCCACCTGGCCCGCTAATGAAACATCGACTTTATAAACATGTGTTGTTTTTTCCCTCGTTTGTTCCGTTTGACACAGTGCAGTGCACAATGGATGTTCTTTGTGCGTGGGAAGCTTTCATGCTAGAGTAGAAGCACACACAACCATACCCCAAGTCACCGAACAATGCGAACCCCGAACTAATGCCTGTTACCAGTACCCATACGCTCCATGTATTCCATATATGCCTATATAGGGGGGTAAATGTAGGCATGTATTCCATACATGGAGTGTATGGGGTACATGCTGTTACTATTTGACTCACGATGTTTCTCGTTCATGTCCTACCAATTCCCAGCAACAACGTGATTCCTATACTTCCCTCAAGACTCTTGCCTCAATAGGCCTCAATTCTCGTGATTCTTCTACAGGGCTTTGCTAAAAATGCTCTTTGGAAGTAGTCCTTGGCAAAACGCAATGCCAGGACTTCTGCGGGGCAAGCCGCCCCTTGAAGTTTCTCCGAGTCAGGAGCTCCGTCCGCGTCGAGTCCCAGCGAATCCGTCCAAGCCGCCGCGGAAGAGCATCGCGTTCCCGCGCGCCTTGGACGAGGTCGCTGTGGAGCGGTGATCGTGCAGAGGGAGATGAGACGAAAGACGGGCAAAAGGAGGTAATTGGACGTGACGTGAAATGAGAAGATTTAGGAAGAAACTTGACAAACATCGAATGAGTCTTGTGGTCTTGAAGGGTTGCCACAGTTGCTTTGTTACCGAAAAAGGATCATGTTCAGGGGTCACTTGGATGTTAAACACTGTCTTCTCAGGTCAGGCTCCTGATTTCCTCCAGTCTTCCATAAGGAAACATTTCGCAACAAGCGCCCACTCCCACTGCTGGGTGTGTCAACATAGGTGTTTGCCCACAGCGATACCATGCGATACCTCTGAAGTACGGAAAAGGATGATGAACAAACAACGCAAGCAACTCACCACGTCCAGGTCTATATGCCCAAGAACTTGAAGCTGTAAACAATAGACTAGACTCTAGACCAATGTTTTAAATTTGCATTTGGCCATTGGTTGTAAAAGAAAAAGCAAAACACAAACCTTTGAAAGAGGCAAGACGAGGCGTGCACCCACATGAAACCACCAGCCCCTCCCCTCCAGGGTCTTTTCGGGAGAAGTCTCTCAACCGGAGCGGACCGGTGCCGCCCGCTTTTCCGGACCGCCCCCATGGGCGCCGAGTGCTTCCAAAGGACGACTGAGCTTGGCCTGAGACGGGCGACTGAGCACGTCGAATCGACGCGCCGATGTGATGCGCTGCTGCGCTGAGGCTGGAGGATTGAAGGTGTAAAAGACATGAGGAATCCGCCTTCAAAACACCATTTTTGATTGGATGTGACTGATGCGTCATCTTGGATGACACCATCTGTTGGGCGAGTCATCTGTGTCGTGTTCGTCCCCCCAAAGAGAGACCATCCCTCAAGGAATTCGCGGATAATACGCTGTGCGAGCACAGCTACACTGAGTGAATCTTCCAATGGATCTGCCAAAGATTACGCTCTTGGACAATCCCTATAGCCGCTATGGCCTTTCCAGCAACATGGAAAAAGGCCCCTACTTTTCGAACAGTACTTGGTATACGTCGATTTCCAGGTCTACACTCACACTCCCTGCAACCATCATGGTTACGTCTGTAGACCATGGCATGGAAACCGATGACTCGGATGATCATGAAATCCATGGGAAAAAAACACCTCTACAAACAGATGGTGCCCTCCACGTAAACCGGACTCGGAGTCATGATGTCCGTCGTCTTCGGCTTCTCCTATGGACCCAGTGCCGGGTTGACGTGCCACCCGCTGTCCACGGCTCACCTCGCATCAAAGAGGTTCAGCGTGCCAGGCCGCCTGGGAACAGTGCGGAGGAACAGGGCTGGGGAACTCAAACGCAGCACATGTGTTGTTTAAACATCTTCTTGTTTTGGGACTGGAATCCTGGATGGAAGGACAAGCCTATTGAATGTCAGAAAGGACGTGCATAATGGACACACTCCGACAAAACATGTTCCCAAGCATGCAGGGAGTGGTGGACTGTTTGTTTGGTTTCAATGCTACAGTAAGCACACTCTTTGGGGCAACTGTGAATCTCTGGGTCTCGTTTCTGCACGGCAAACTCCGAACCGCCAGACATTTATCCAGAGGTTTGTTTAGTAGATTGCCTCCAAAGGCAAAGGAACTGCTCATGGATACTTGTTCTGCCCAGCTTGTGGATGAAGGTGAACATAATATATAATATAGTATAATATAGAAACAATTGCTTCACCATCAGGCCATTCTCAAACTTCTGGGGGCAATGGATTCCTAAATCTTCCAAAGCATGCACAAACCATCACAATGTTTGCGTTTAGATGAGGCTCCAAGTCTACAAAGCAAAGGCCCAATTAGTTCCGCACTAATTAAGCAAAGCGGACATAAAAATGCTCCGGGAAAAAAAACTCCGGTGATTTCTCACCTCTCCGCATCTCTCAGCAATGGACTCCAATTGACTCACCTCTTCTGAGACTGCTGCAGGTTCTGCTTCCCCAACTGTTGGCGTATCAAACGTCGACACTTTGGAAGCAGCTTCGTCAAATTGAACCTGGCCAATTGTCTGACGCTCGCTCAAGGCACATGACTTACTTGTGTTTCAGGTATGGGATACACAAGACTTCTTCTCGGTGATGAAAGCGGGACCGCCTCAAACGACCTACTAGGGAGTGCCTCGGGGACCGCCGGACCGTTTTTGAGCTTCAGAAGCTGAACGGCAGCTCAGCTTGAAAGGCATCCAACATCACATAAGAATTTTGTTTCCGAGAGGCTGCTGTTTCCGGGTGCCCAAAAACAAACTAAGTCAGTCCGCCAGAAAAATGAAACTTTTGAAGGTTAAGTCTAGGGCTACATCCTCCCCTCAACCCTGACACCAAATTCTCAAAACAACCAGTCCCTTTCAACAGCTACCAGATTTGCACACCCCGCACACAAGCAGAAGCGCCCCGATGCCATTTTTTGCTATCACAAGCGATAGCAGGTCACAGCGGCCCCCTTTCGCCAGCCTGGACATCAGCTGAGCAATCTGACATGTCCCAAGTATATAGTCGCTAAAATTGTGGGATAGCCTCCCAAGACCACAAAAGAAAGCGTACAGTATCATATGTTGTCCAGCAATTAGCACTTTAATTGTGGTTCGGAGCTTTCCGGCTTGATTTCTTGTTCAGTTTCATTTTTGACTGGTTGTTGAGTTGCTGCCTTGATGGAAGTTATCTGCTGGCTAAAGACATTCTCAATTGCACAGCAACCCAAGAAACGCTGCTTGAGCACACGTCCACATCTTCCTTCTTAAGACCTCTCCTGTCAATCCACCACCAAATCTCGTTCCACTTCATCCATCTTCCTCCCTTCCAAACTCTTCGTTTTTGTTGGTTCGCCCTTCGAACATGATGAACGAGCCTACGGGCCTAGGCACTTGACCAGTGACTGGCACACAAAAGCAGCATGCAAGCTCGTCAACTGTCAAGATTACCCTCTCAGTGCCCTTCGTTTGGGACTGCGACTTACCTGAGTGCTGCTTGAGCACCTGAAATCTTAATGGTTGGAGAACCCCTCTTGTTCAAGTCCTTTTCACCCTGTCTCACCCTTCGCGTTCGATCCTCGCGTTCGCCCTTTGCGTTTCGATCCTCGCCTTCCGGCAAGGCGGCGGCCATGAGCTCCAGCAGCGTGCGCTCGGCGGGCAGCGCTTGCCCGTCCGAACAGGCGCCCACCTGAAGCTCCTGCGACCGCAGAAGCAGAAGCTTCAGCGATGCAGCGATTCCGCGCGGCACTTTTCAGACTCCGGGAGGCCCTCTTTTGTCTGGTAAGGAATTGCAGTTGACAGGGCTGGGCTGGTCTTGTGTTCAGCCTGAATCAAGGGGTGAAGCTATCAAAATTGCCAAACTATTCAGATATATTTGAGAGGACAAGAAGGGGAACACCTGCAATGAACTATCCAGTGCAATTCTAGTATTGCTTGCTCCCTCTTCTTTCAACTATGACTCTGACTCGTGTGCTGTCTTCCAGCATCATGTTGTACCTGACTACCAAACAGCCTGCACTAATCATCACCCTGCAGACTTGTAAACCTAAGCAAAGACCCCCTATAGACATCTCTAGACTAATTTGTCCTTGTAGGACCCCATTTGTCACCCGTTCCGGACAAAACGGCTCCACGTGCGACGTGTTTTCCCATGGCTCCGGTTCACCCCTCCTCCGCGCGGTCGCTCAGTAGCCAGCTTCCTTCACCTCGATCCAATCAGTCACGTGGCGCGGAGCGGCGCGGTCGCGGCGCGGTCGCGGGCCTGGTTTGGGGTGCGGCTTGGGCGCGAGCATTGCTGGTAGAGAACAAATCCACGGTTTTGGCAGAACATGGTCCGTAAAGAACAATCAACAACATCGTCCCTGAAAAATATTTTTAGATTGAGGACAAATTAAGATTTCCAAACAAGTCCAGTGATCCAAATACCCACGTTCCCTCCAACAATCGTGGAATGTGGAACGCAGAGTCGTGGTCTGTTCACGTCTTTTCCATACATGATCGCAAATCTCTTCCGGCAGCAGCTTGCGGCTCGAAAGGAACCGTGGTCTTCCAGAAATCCTGAACAGCACTGTCTATATGATTCCTCGAATTCAACAGGGTTGAACAACAAAAGGCCCACCGATTCGATCGCCCAAGCCTTCGAGGCGATCGCCTCAACCCGTCCCGACCTTTCCAGGCAAGGCTCTTTCCGCCGGAGCTTTGTTCTTCAGCGCCAAATTCCCTGAACCAACGACCGGCGACACCCAGCGACCAGGTAAGACCTGGGCTATCCCCTTACGAAGTCCTTCTGTTGGTCGCAAGCGAAAGCAAGCGAAAACTCGACCACCAAGAAGGACATAAAAAAAAGAAAAAAACATTGGAATATAACGATGTTTAAATGCTGTCCACGAACACGCAAACATGTGTAAGTTGATTGAAAATGATTGGTATGTTTTTTCTCTTTGCTTATTGAACACGATTGAGCATGCCTGCTTCCTGAGCATGACAAACCGACCGATTGCTTCGACTGACGAAACAAGGCACACGCAACACCCATCAGTCATAAGGCATCATCGGGTCAATGTTGGCAATATATGTCCCTCGGTCCCCCTGTATCATCGATGCCGCCACACAAATGCCACGGGGCCAAACAAATTCAAACATCGAATTGGTCACTATAGTAGCTATATATACTGTGAGCAGCTCCAGCCTCGACCAAGGAGGTACACTGGCTGAGATAGAACCTGCGATGCAGGCAGGATGGTGATTCCAAGATCCAACCACTCACAATGTTCCAAAACTACACGTAGAATGTAACACCCGGCCAAAGTAAGTCCAATGTTCTTCCAACAATTTTGAAAGTGTTTCATGCCTTGTTTTGTGCGTGTTGACGTCATCTTGTGTGTTTGTAAATAAAAAACATACAATCACATTGCTTGGAGCAACTGCACTTTTGCCTGTCAAGAAAGTTCATTCAAACTCACTCTGGGCTTACCATCGTGTACACAACTAGGACACCCTCGGTTTTATCCAATAAGTCTCCATACAACCTATATATATATAAATATAACTCAATACCTTGATGGCTTACAAGCCTCAGAGTACCTTCGGTGGTTGTGTACTGGCTGTCTATTCAAGTCTTTGTGGCAAGGGTCATTTCACCATCGGGCACAACAAAGCCATGCGGAGCATCCCAGCTACTCCCAGGCACCTTGCTGGCGAGCAATTGATCCATTCGCGTCCAGGCCTGTCAGGTTGTTCAACATGTCAAGACTGGAAGTACCAGTACACTACTACCAACTGTTAAGTACACTACGACTACTACTACTACTACTACTACTACTACTACTACTACTACCCCTGCTGCTGCTGCTGCCGCTGCTGAAAGTACCAGTTGGTAGTTGGTAGTTACATTGTTGCCAAGATGCATGGCAACTACCAACTGTTGTTCGGAAAGTGTTTTCCTCAAACAGAATGTCGGGCAACCCGGTCTTGGGAAGGTACAAACAACCTTTCGTAAACGTATCCAGACACCTCAGAGTGCTGACACCCAGCTCCAAACGACTCCATGATTCTGCATCAGCCACCTTCTGGAGATCGGATTCATGCTTCAAGCTTGCGCAAGTGCAAGCTGCCAGTCGAATTGGAATTCCAGGGATGGACTCTTGAGCGAGTTGGCTGGTTCTTGCCAGATGTATGGCAACTTCGATAGTGGAGTATGGTCCAGAGTCCAAAAATCCTCCACGAACTCTGAGAGGTCCGCCGATCTTCTCGCCCGAAAAACCGAGTCGCGCTCCTTGTGAGCGTGGTGTGGGGTCTCCAGGCAGACCACCGCCTGGCAGACTGGTGCTGCACAATCACCACGAAGCTTGGGACTGTAGGAACTGGGGAAATCTGACAGGTATACTCTGGACATAAAACGACAAAACATGACTTTGACAATATTCCAACAAACTTGACTTCGATAGAGTTGATCCAGTGCTCTGGTTTGGTGGGAGATCTCTTTGAGAAAACACTATTCATGCTTATGCCACCGGGATCACCCGGGCCTCTTTTCACAGATGGGATATGGCCGAGACAAAAACTATTCGTTCTTTTTCTGGGAATCTCTGGAACCTGAGATGAGGGAGGAAGCCAAGATCAGTCAGATTCTTCTATTTGTTAGACCTTCGGCTCTGTATAACGTTCTTGACATGACAGGTCGAACATTGGACATGTTGCTAGGCCACCCCTGATGTTGGCTGAGTTAGGCTCAATGTCCCTCCCCAAACCTACAGTACAAGTGCATCAATCTGTCCGGTTTTCAACAGACAATCTATCCCGTACCCTACTGAGAACTCTTCTCCAGTTGTTCACTGCGCACTTCACTAACCCTTGAGGAGTCGCGGTTCCTTGGGAGAGGAGTCGCCTGGCAAAGCTGCAAATAGAAGGGCCACGCCAATGATGCTGAAGAGCGCAAGCAGTTCAAGTCCTCGCAGAACCGTTTACGGCCATTGGGTGAGAATGAGGTTCTTCAGTGCAGCATCTCATTCTTTTTGAGCAAACATGCCAGGTTTTGTCTAACCTGGAGATACACCTGCACTCCTACCAGTATAGAAGGTAAGCTTCTCAACGGGCTTATATATTCGAGGGCTGGTAATGGTTCGGAACGGCTGGTATGAATCAGCTTATTGCCAGCCAATTATACCAGTCCCAATGTTGGGAGTATTCGAACATACACCCCAGAAATCCATTGGATTATCTCATCTGCTGAAAGCCTACTTATTGACAACCAATCTCTAGGACCTCCACACCGGGAGACGTCCCGAGGAGCTGGGAGTCGGTCGCCGCTTCGGCGAATGAGACCGACTCGGCGCCCTACATGTGTCAACTGCAAACGACCTGCTCACGCAAGCCAATGTCAAACAGAGGAAGCTGATTTCAGTCGACCAACGTCTATGAACCTATGAAAAACAAATCAATCCTCTTATGGACCTTCCTCCACTACCCGTTCAAGATCCTTCCCAGAAACATTCGTTTCCTCGCAGCTCACCACGCGTCCTCAGTGCAGC